GGGGTTCTGGGCATAAGTGGAGTTGTGTCTAAGGTGGTGCTACCATGTAACAGGCTAGCAGGGACAAGAAGACAACAGAGAACTAGGGAAGACTTGGTTACTACTTGTTATTTTCCCTTTGAGGGGCCTCAGAGAGGTCCTCTTTTTATAGACAAAAGGGGCTGACAAATGCTATATCCTAACTACCCAATCAGATCTCACCCACATCATCCTAAACTATTTGTCAGCCTATTGCACCATTTGCAACCAATCAGAACTCATACATGTCATCCTAAACTATTTGTCAGCCTATTGCACCATTTGCAACCAATCAGAACTCATACATGTCATCCTAAACTATTTGTCAGCCTATTGCACCATTTGCAACCAATCAGATCTTGTACATGTCATCCTAAACTATTTGTCAGCCTATTGCACCATTTATAGCCAATCACAAGTGAGACAAGTCATCCTAAATACACTGTGCCACTTGATTAAAAGGGGCAGATGCTAGTGTGTCAGGATACTCATCTAATTTAGCCAGAAATGGCTAAATCTGCTTATTTATCTAATTCTGGTCAAATGAATGCTGACACCATCAGCAAAGTCATGTGACCACTAGTTTGGAACCACATCTAACCAGTATAACCATAGCACTGACAGAAGAATTCTGTCACATCACTATTGAATATACTACTAGCAATGCAAAAGAAATCTAGTGATGTGCATGGTGCAGTAAAGATGTGCCTGTATGGTGTAGCAGTTAAGTGGCTTAGAGGTCTGCTACCTATGACTGCTAACACTTTGAACATCTCAGGATTAATACAAGTGTGTTATCCCACAAGTTACTGCACCCAGAAGTCTTACTAGCAGTCACAAGCACTTCTAGGCCTTTCAGAAGTGATTTCTACATGGGAAAACAGTGTTCCAAGCACTAGGTTTCAATAATCTCTATGTCAGGTAATAACTAAGATATACAGTATAGGAAGTGTTGGAATAAATTAATTTATTAGTATATTATAAGATAGAAACTTAAAAATTCAGTAAGTTCCTAAAAACAAACAGCATATATACTGTCAAGTTAGACTGCCATACTGGGATAAAATTATTCTATAGATAAGGCACTTATTATATCTTGCACAGCTATTTACAGAAATCTACATATTATTGGGTCTTAACCTTCTGATTGAAATGCCCCCAGAGCCATCATGATGTTTGTGCCAGTGAACTGTACATTGTAGATTGGTGTTCTTTTAGTTGGGTAAGTCCCAAGATGGGACATGCTGAGAACAGAGCAGAGGGTGAATTTGGTGAGTCCAGAAAATCTCCACTTCATACAACATGGGACTTGTATACCTGTCTTGAGCAATGGAATGTGTGACATCTCTCTTCACACCTAGCTCACGCACTTCTGCTCTCTTAGCATCCCAAATGCGCACCGTGTTATCCCCACCACCTGAAGCGAGAACAGACCCATCCTTGCTAAAGCACAGTGAATGCACCACGCCAGTATGACCCGCCATTGTTTTGATGCGCTTTCCTGATGATATGTCCCACAGTATAATGTTGTGATCCTCACCTAAAGCAGGCGGTGTCAATATTTCATGATCCAATGGAAAAGTGGAACAAAACGC